CGCCCCCCCTGAAAATTTCCTCGCCCCCCCCCCTGAAAATTTCCTCGCCCCCCTACTCTTATTTTGTTAAAAAAAAAAAATAAATAAAAAAAATGACCTGAGCACGGGATAAACTGCGTTAATATTCAGAGTCATAGTTGCTAATTAAAAAAAAAAAAAAAAGATAGCAGCAAGAACATTTGAACTGATGATATCTCTTGTTGTTTCAATAATTGTAATTCTTATTATGTTAAATTAATTTGATTGTTATTTTTAAATCTATTTATAATATTAAAGATCCGTGAATAATAATTCCGGTTTACTGGGAACATCGGCTTGACTACTTGAACTTGCTACACCGCAAACATATTAATCGATTGTGGTCAAAGGGAGAACACTCCACAAAATATCGAAGACTTTGTAAAATTGAAGTTTAAGTTACATCCCTTCGTTGATGTTACAAAAGCCACCAAAAATAATGGGTGTCATTGAAAAATAGAAGCCGTCTCTAGCTGTGTGCGTTAAGTCCCTGATACACTAGTCCATCAACAGGCTGGCTTTCTCAGCATAAACATGTTCTTACAAAACTGACGACCCAGATGAGCTAGACATGTTGCAAGAATACGTTCCATTAGGAGATGGCGTCAGTGGGTCGAGCTGGAGCTCTTAGGACCCCCTCCGGCACACCCCCACACGGGACGACGCCGGGTCTTCCTATCACCACACCGTGCGGAAGGATGTCAGAGACCTCCCCTTCGAGCTTAGGGTTGACCGTGCACATCCCTTTCAGAGTGTGGACAGTCCACTCTCCTTGTGTGGACAAGACGACTTTGCTTCCTCTCCGGGGTCCGTGTTTCGTTACTTTCCTCCATCGTCCAAGGAGTTGTTCGGTCTAGGGTCGGGACAGCTTTACTTCCTCTCCGGGGGTCGGTGTTTCGTTACCTCCCCCCACCGTCAAGGGAGTAGTTCGAATATGACGGATGCGGGACGAAACGGTCGCCTAGGAGCGGCTTTCTCAGGGCCGCATGTTTTTAATCCTCGGCAAGGGTTTTGCTTCCACCCAGGCCTCATCTCCATTATCGGTGACACGTAATCATGTCAGCGCGCTACTTCCGTTGCGTTGGAAGTCATGCGTTTGGCCGGGATCTTTTAGCTTCAGGAGGAAACCTCACTACTGGTCCGTCACGCCGCGAAGAGGCAAGATTCCATGTAACCCCACGGAGTCGGTAATGCTGAGCTTCGACCTCACAGTGCCCGGTCTCCGCCCGACGGATTGCAAGAATACCAGACCGCCCAAACATCTAAGTAATCCAACTAAACCTCAAATGTTAAATAAGAAAAAAAAATGCCATCTTTTTAAACATTGCTTAAAAGCGTCACTCGAACAAATCCATTGACATCGACCTCAACGCATGTGAAACACACTAGCTGGGGAGGTAGAATCGCAGTAGAGCACAATTTTCATCGAGTAAAAACAGGGCTTTCTTAACAGCTTTGGGGGGGGGGGGGCTGGACAAAGTAATACACTGAATGAGGCCCTTATTACTGTCGGTAGGCATTATGACGACAACCTTTATATAGGTTTGCATCATTCTTAACTTAATCGGAGAACAACAGAAGAGATGCTAATGGAAATTTAGGTGACCCTTGACCTAGTCATGTTTATACTAACCCATTCTTGATGTTTCTCTCTAAATAGACATTATTTTGCTTCCTGATTATTAATTAAAGCTTTTTATTTGCTTAAATTACTTCAATGATAAATGATTTTTTTTTTAAAAGAAGGTGTAGTTTTTTTTTTTTTGTCTTTAGAGTTACCAGAGTTGAACTTTGGTACAGATGTAGACAATACTTTTTTTCTCCATATTTGAGGGCCAACGATCAATTTATTGATCATTTTGGGTCCTGGTTTGAATTCAGAGTTTGCCTTCCAAGGATAGCGAGTCGCATCTACCCGGGGTGCTTGGGATGTTGGCTTTGGCTGAGATTGAACTTCAGACCACCACTATTTGGAGTGAGTCAGTG